AAAGTTAGGTAAGTAAACAAAATCTTTGAAAAAGTGGACGTCCTTCATCACGAAATTACCAATGGTGAAATTCCTTGCTGCTTATTATCACTATGAAAATCACATCCTTATCAGTGGCATAAATCTTATGACAATGCTAAAAACATGCTCACACTAAGCGCTTTAAGAACCACATGCCATTGAAAATGTTTTCTCCATATTTAAAATATTTCCGTATACAGACAGTCAAGAATTGAAATTCCTCGGATCATACGACATCAGAATATGAAGGATAAAAATACCATGTTCTCTTTAATGAATTTCCTAAACTTGATAGAGTGATTCTCAGCCATTATAGCGTTTTAATCACCACTGGCCGCACTGAGCTGGTGACGATTTCACAATGAAAAACCCTAGGTTACAATTTTTTTAATAAATAATTTTTCAAAAAAAGGAGAAAATTTGACTTCGCTGGGCTCAATCATGAGACAGGGGCTTATTTCAAGCTCAGTTGTTTTGACCATCATTCAGTGCAACCATGGAATAAAAGCGTATCAAGAAAAATTTCGAACGGCAATAGAAGTCTGCCGTGGTTGAGGAAAGTGCACAGGAGAACGGAGCAAGCAAATCTTTGCTAGAAAATCAGTATGAATTTTGGACACCTGCTTGAAAGTGACAGTTGGCTTCAGTAAACTCTTCTTGAATAATGACAACTTTTGGAAGAATTTCTAACTCTATGTTTACTCTATAGTTCTTCCTGGCTGCCCGCACATACAGATTCAAGAAAGTTCGTTGAGTGCCGCAGAATACTTGACAGTGAATACCCACCCAAATTATAGTTCCATGCTTTTAAGTGATCAATAAGAGTGTATGAACAGCAGAAAAGTTCCGTAACCATTTCACAACAATACGATCCAAAAGCACTCCCACAGCTATAGAGATAAGAAACAAGCAGTATGGATGAAGAAGGAGAATGGGAAAAGACAAGCTTCAATGAAACGAGAAAATTGCAAAAAAAAACCAACCTCAAAGAATCTTCAGCGGAGGTTTTCAATAGACGGCTAGCTTTGGCTATTCGTTCTCCATCCTTATTCATTGCTTGACAAAATGAAGATGAATCACAATGAAGTAAAGCCAGACAAAGACGAGCTCTTGATAATTCTTGTGCAGAACTTTTGTCATCATCACGTGGGCGCAGATTCGATAGCCTGTGTTTAAAGAAGGATGAGAGATAATTGGAATTTAATTATATTCCTCCCCTACCGTTCAATAACAGCAAAGAGTTCAAATGCTAATGCTTCTCGAATGCGTTCCGGCTGAGAATCCATTTCTACCTGTTCATACTTTGCGCAGGAATCGCGAGCATTCTGTACACCAGCGTAAAACGAAGAGATGCATCTAAACCAATGATTTAGTAATGAAGGGTCGATATGCAACATTTGCACGCACTTTTCCAAAGCGGGAGATATTCCGACTCCAATGAGAGTATCAAACTTGTTTGATGTTTTTTCAAACAGGGGTGGCGAAGCTAAGTTAATAGTTTCTAATTGAGAAGTTAGCTTGTTCTCTAAATTACGCAAATCACGTGCGATGATGCTCTGCAAATGACAAAATATAAAATAAGCGATTTTGAATGAAATTAATAAGTTTCTAAAATGCTTGCCGTAAACTTCTTGAACAAAATGTCGCCAAATAAGTTTTGGTACACTGTGGAATAAGAGCTGATCCGAGGCCAATCCTAAATGATAAAAAGACTGAGATGATAGCTGAACTGTATCAATAATCTGACAATGAAGTGGTTTATTAAAGGTTGTTCTGTTTGAAAATAAGAAGATATAGAAATACAAAAAATAACGTCCTTTAAATAGGAAAATTT